GGGAAGTAATCAGTAATTAGTTACTGATTACTTTTTTCAAGTAACTTGACCAACACTGGGACATCTCATTGTGAAGGACACTCGCCATCTCCGCTGGGTTTCAAAAAGCTTCTGTTCCTGCTGAACACCTCTGTTCTCCACGCTATGATCCAGCCTCTCCTTTCATTCTTAATATGTTCAAACAAAACCCGCATCATGTACCTTTGTTACTAATCACTTCAAACTCCTGTCTCATGACTGCTTCATCTGTAAAATCACCTGATGGTTTTCAACAATGCTGATAAATCGCTCTGAGCGTTTCTGATAATCTCTTAAATCTTCCGTCTTTTTTCTCTCCTGTCCAACTGGACTCAGTCCACTCCAGAACCAGTTTCTGTACCCAGCTGGCAGACCAATATCCTGCTCGTGGCTATTAATGGCTCCAAATATTTGCTCTTTGTTGACAGTCTCTCCCGCTGCGTTTATTTCAAATTTCAGAACTTGCAACAAAAGCTCCACAGGAGACGTGGAAACAGCTTGAAAGAGCAGGAAAGTGGAAAATTAGCCTGCTCAGTGTTCTGCTTAACACTGTAGTCCAAGTTTCACCGCACTGCCACTTCAACTCTGACTATATCACATGGATTACACTACAGCGCATATTAACCCGAAGGTTTAGGCTTCACACATTCATCCCAAGAGGTTGAAACCAACACTGTTTTTCAGATGTCTCTTGTTTAACGGCAGACTACAAGAAGAAAGCGCGTTTAAGCTGCAGAGTGTTTCCTGTGTGTGCAGAGTCGGTGTTGTTGGTGAGTTTGAATGGTTCCTCTGCCTGTAGCAGACAGTTATCATTCAGGGGGGGTCATTCCTCATTACTGAAGGGTAGTATGGGCTAATGCATTTCTACATTAGCTGGCAGGTGGGTCATGCAGTTTTCAACAGTAACATGAGGTTGAGACGCCTGTTTTCTCTCTTTCTCAGACTTTTTACCTTCATACTCACCTTCTGTTTGGTTCGGTTCAGGCATCACAAAGAAAAGTGACTTGTTTAGGGTTTCAGAAAAGGTTGTGGTTTGTGTACAAATGACAAATTATAAAGACCAATTTGATATTCGCCACAGGACTTTTGTTTCAGCCCTTCTTTTTTTTCTTTTTCCAGAATATCTTTTCCCACCACTTCTTTTTATCAGTATTTATCATTCAGCAGCACAGGAGCCATCACGGATGGTGCGACCTTGGCTATTTCCTGTAGCTGCAATTTACAAATCTCCAATACACACCTTACATGTTTAGAGAAAGAAAAATAGAGAAAGTTTCTTTTTCTATTTTTCTATATTTGTTTTTAAACTCCACACTCAGAGTTTGGACATTTGGAAATGTGCAGAGATGGAGAGAGATTTCATTACAGCGCTACAGCTTCATTTGATTGGTCGGTTTGTTTACACAGACAAAAAATCTTTATTGATGCTACGATAAAATTAACGCCACTTTTCAAAGCAGCTATTCCAGGTGATTTGGACAACCAACCAATCTGCCCTCACTGTGTCACGTTAATGAGCGAACCACACGCAGCCAGTTTAAGATTTGCTTTTAGAGCGTTGCCCAGCAACATGAAGCTAAACACAGCTTGTCCACTGTGCAGTCTGTTATTGTGCATTTACTCAATATGTGCTTAATTCTGCCTTTCACAGAACGGCAGGTTTTGATGACTTCTTAATGCTTCCAGCTGATGTGAGCTTGTTTATCCTTCTTTCATATGTTGCAGGAAATGTGGAGAAAAGGAGAAGATAATGAACAAGGGCTGAGTTCATGGACACGTGCTTAGTAAACAGTCTCTGGCATTTTGTCCAAAGATGAAAACGAGGAACTCACACGTGTCCGGTCTCATGAGCCACAACAAAGGCGGAGGAGAAGCCGTCTTCGTGGTTCAGGGTGCAGCTCCGGACTGGGTGGCACATTCCTGTGACCGGAGCGTAACCTGCCGGAAAAAACGATGAATGTTACCACAACAAATACAAAGATGAGGACGCTGAAAACAAAACGTCTCCTCGCATCTCAATGAAAGGCGTCAGGAGAAAATGTTTTGTGGAAAAGTATTAAAAAAATTAAACATGTTAAAAATGGAAATTTATTCTATGAAATAAAACGAATTTTGTGTGAGGATCAAATGTTAATCTTATAACCAAAAACAAAAAATAATCTTTAAAAAGTTAACTGTGCATTATCAATGAACATTTCTTTATTATGCCGAGTCATCTTCATCGTTCCTACAATAACAAAACATGTTTTCATCTGTAATTGTTTCACTTTATAACTGCAGTTTGGGATTTCATTGGTTTGTTTTAGCTACAACGACATCATCCAAGATCTCGACTGCTGACCAAAAACCAAGGAGCTGTGCGGTGATTAAGCACAGACTGTATACCAAAGATGGACATTATGAGACCACAAGTGATAAATATGTGCAACAAATGCTGTGTAGGGATGCACCGATACCACTTTTTTGGAAACGAGTACGAGTACTTGCATTTCAGTACTCGCCGATACCGAGTACTTAATAAAAACATGATTTAAATTTACAGGTAACAGCTTTAGTCCTATAATTTAACAACAAACAAACAAGGGGCTGGTTTGGAATTAGTTTTCGCGTCTTCGTTCACTTTGAAATAGTTCCACACGGCTGACTTGTCTCGCCTGCCCTTCTCTCAGCTCTGAGCTGCAGCCAGGACCT